TATATCGATATTTTTTAAAAACTCGATATATCGCCCAGCCCTATATGGGCCTCATTTTTAATATTACAATGGCAAAACTGCAAAAATTGTCCTAACAAACCAAACAAATTATGGATTTAACTGTAAAACCTGCATTTAATTGAACCATTATCTTTAACGCTGCTGAAACAGAAACAGCATTTTCTGCTGAAAATTTAGTAGACCAGCTCTGACTATGAGTTTTATGAAGTTATTTCAGTAACATTATATTTTCTGTAATTCTGGCATGGCAGGTAGCTCCAAATATGAATGTAGACAGATTGGTAGTAAATTCAATCCTTTGTTGCTGCAATTATAAGCAAAAGAGTGGGGCATAATTTACTCCAAATATTTTTCTCTGGTATTGTTTTTTCTTCCCATGAAACCAAGTTTTACAAACACAAGCTTCTCCATTAGCTTTTCTTTACAGAGAAGGGTATTTTCTGATGGGCTTGTTAACCTTTTTCCACCAGTGTTTCCAACCAACAGAGCTTCACTTTGATTCAAACTGTAGAAAAGTTCACAGTGAATATCACATTTTTTTACTTTTGGAAACCAGGAGCACCTACAAAAGCTTTCATATTTCACATTTTGTTTCAGATTTTGAAAAGCTCCCTCCAGAGCCACTAAAGACATTCATGGTACTTTTCATTCCAAGGAAATTTCACTGCCTGCACAAAATCTGTTGACTGCCCTTTCAGTTTTATTATCATTAAAGCTCCTGTTCAGGTACCACAGTTACTTTTTGCATCAGTGTCTAAACTTCTGTTTTCTTTCCAGGTGAGTGCATTCTCAGCACCAACTTGGCATTCAGGAATGAGGAGGAAGAGGAGGCCAGAGGTAACCTGACAGTCTTCATTATAGCCTGCGTCCTGCTGGTGCTGGTTCTGGTCACCGTCGTCATCCTTATCAGACATTCCCGCTTGAAAAACGTGCGCTCAGACATCCCTCCCCGTGGCTATGAAAAGCTGGGCTCCGGTGGGGGATACGGAGGCGGCTACAGCTCTGCTTCTTCTTACAGCGGCAGAGCCGGCTCCTCTGGCGGCCGATTTCAGGAGTCCCAGCTGGTCGACCTCAGTGAACGTCGCTCAGGGAATAAGGATGATGACAATGATGACGACGATGATGAAGATGAGGACATTGTTTACATGGGCCAGGATGGCACAGTGTACAGGAAGTTCCGATACGGACAGCTGGGAGAGGACAACGAGGACGAGCTGGAGTACGACGATGAAAGCTACACGTTCCGGTGAACGTGATGCTTTCCATCTCATAAGATTTCTTTTGCAATTCTTTCCTTCTTCGTTTCTTCCCCAGTGCTGTTTGTCTCCCCCTTCCCCCGAGGGACAGAGTCATTTATCCTTTACTGAATGAGCCTGACCAAATGAAACATGAGATGCTGTTCATAATGAGCTCTGTTTTTATAACTGCATTCACACAATGAAATGTGTTGCATTTAAAAACAGTAAAATGTATTTAATACTCCCAAACTTCCTTTTTTTTAAAATAAAATTAACAAAATTAAGCTTTATTCGCCACACCCGGTTTGTAGCACGAAGATTTCTGCGTATCTTTAACATTTCATCGTGGCAGTTTACTTGTTGTGATGGTTTCATTGATCATATTACCATGTATAATTGTGTTGGATTGGGGTTTAAAATTTGATTAATCACCCTGTTTATGTTTGTTTTTCTCTTTTACCCATGTGCTTATTGTTGTTGATATTTAATTTGAGTATGTGTTATCCTGGTTATTCTGTTCAAATAAAGTTTTGCAAACAAATCCATTAGGAAAAAAGAGCAACTCGTGACTTCACCAGGTTGAAAGTGGCTGATTTGTAATTTGGCAGACAAAGAAATGATAAAATACATTCAGACTTGAATCGATTTATTTTTATTGAATTACTAGCCAGTGATCAACAATTTCTTTGCATCCCCTCAGTACACCATTATAGACTGTGCAAGAGGACCATCGGTTATCTAATGAGGGGGACATGCACTGATGCACAGATACGCACACACGCATGCGTGTGGACACACACAGATAAAGATGTGCTTATCAAAGATCCCATCGCTACTCTCACCCGAGATTCTTCCTGGTCGTCAAGCAGAAACTGAGGATGAGTTTCGACGTGTATAGACAGAAAGACACATGCATGCGTGCGCACAGACACGCACACACACTTGCAGAACACGACTAAAAAGACATGCTGTCACATAGCACTGACAGCTTCATATAATAATTAAGTTATTCCTTCTTAGTCTTAGATTAACTCTATAAAGGTAAAATATCTAGTTTTATGGTTAATTTTCCAGAAAGAGGTTTGGATTGGTCAAAAGCCAGTTGGTCATCTTCCATGGCACAAGGCACCCTGTGCTTTTACTGCGTACACAGAAGTAGTTTCTTCATCAGAAATACTGAGACTGAGTAACCAGTAAAGGGTGATATTATTGCTTCACTGCTTCTCATGCACACAACTACAACACTATAGACTCTACAAATGGATTTGCGCAGTGCGCTGTCTAGTGTGTAATTGAAATCCCTACCCTAAAGTGAGCGATGGCACTAGTCTGCTGATGCTCCCAAAACAAAAAATCACACTTAAGACTACATGTATATCAGGACTGCAGGTGTAAGGTACAGCAGGTGCTACAGCAGCCGTTAAAGATCTTATCGTGATCAGGTGCTATTGTAAGTTGTATTCTCTTATTAAACTCCAGTGTGTAATTGACAAAACACTGACAGACGCACACACAGTAGCTACACAATTTTCCAGATGCGCCCATTCAATACAACAGTGACTTCTGAGCATCGAGGTGACCCATCTATTCAGGATGTTTGGATTTACGAGCCGCTGGCACCAGCTGCGTCTGGTCTGCTGGGAAGATGAAAGTACAAAGCAGAGACATTAGAGATGGGTGTGTTTATGTAGTAGTGACAGACTGCTGACACAAGGCCGTTTGTCTTCTATGTGTGAACTTAAACATCTTCGAGGACTTACTCTGTTCTGCTTGCTGCAGTTGGCTCGGATCCCTGCAGAAAACTGTTCACTCTTGATCGGGCCGGGGGAGGGCGGGGATTGAAAGGTTGTTAAAGCAGAATTTACTGTTGTAATACACGAGCATGCGCTGAATTTGCAGGTGCATGCAACTTACGCTTCAGAGCACAGTTAGTCAGCCGGTGATTAGTGTGGGAATTCTACTGCTTCTTTTCTACATTTATTATCAGTGCAATAGATCACTGTGCTATAAGGACTGGCTCATTTATTTTTGCTGTAATGATAAATGAGATGAAAGCAATGCATTTAGCCTCTTTAGCAAATTCTTTCTCTCTCCTGTAATTGCAACTATAGCCAAATCCAATTGGGCCCTGATCCAGCAGAAGAATCCCTGTGATCTAAAAAGTGAGTTGTCTGATAAGAGAGCGCTTCAACTGTAGATGGAAAAAAAGAGAGAGAGAAGAAAAAAAGCAGAATAAGTAATGCGAGCAGGAGGGTCGATGCTTACCTCGAGTTCTCTGCCGCTTCCTTCAGCTGCTTGTCGAGTCTAGATGTTAGAGTTTAAATGACAAGATGAAAATAGACTTATTTAAAAGACCATCTGGGCTCAGAGGAGGTGGAGGCAGTGTTGTGTTTAAAGGTTTAAAGGGACTCACCTAATGATGCACTCTGGGATCTGGATGCAGTCCATCGGGATGAGTTCCTGCAGCTCGTCCAGACTGTTTACATACTTTATCTTACTGCTGAACTTGGTGCTGAGGCATCACAAGCATGTGCACAAAAAATGACCATTTTTACATAGGCACACACACACAATTAAAGATCTACATAACAGAAACACGATAAAAGCAATAAATGTGCATTACTCCGTTACACTATATTAAAAGGTCTGGAGTCACATTAGCAGCTAATTGTCTCAGTGTAATAATTTTAAGCAGCCTTAATTGTTTTAATACGTGTCAAGATCCAGCAGCAATCTTTAGAACAAGACAGTGGACCAACCACCAGACCACAACAAATACTGATAGCGTGCCAGCTAAAAGTGAAGTATTCTTTACCTGATGAATGGCTTGGTAATGGCTAGAATGGTCCTGATAAACCACGATGGATGGAGAATAATGAAGGATTTCAAGTTCTTCCTGAGCCTGAGGATAACATCACATGCCAAAGTATTATGTAAATGTTGGTGCATCAGTTTTCACTTTCATTCTGCAAAGCTGCAAATGTTCTTAGTCATTCAGGGCTTCTCTCACAAAACCAATGTAGTATCGCATAGCAGTGATACCACTGAACAGGACAGACCTTCTGTCAATCATCTGATAGCACTTCTTTAGCCAACCAAGTCCAGGCATTCTTCTGTGGGGTGTGGCTCCATTCAGGTATACAATCATGTAGTCCTCTGCCACCATCAGCTCCAGTGTGCTGATCACATAACTGGAAAAACGCACACATGAGTACACACAAATTAATTTTCTGAAGCTTCACCCTTCCTGTAAGTACTACTTAGATAACCCTGACCCCTATTCTGGCTTTAAACCAGGGGTTCATACCATTTTTTTTCTGGAATACAAAAGGGTAAAATGTTGTATTTAGACCCATTGCTGATTTCTACACTCCCTAAAGAACAGTGCTTTTAGCTAAGCACCAGCATGCCAACTTGCACACACTTTTAAACAGCAGCTCGAGACGTATTTGTATAGGCTTGGTTTTGACTAGTAGATAATATTACTGTGTTAATATTTGAATTGACTGCTATTGTGAAGCACTTTGCGATCCTGATTTAGAAAGGTGCTACAGTATATAAATACATTTTATGTACAAATCTTACTGTAAGACGAAAACTCTCTCTCTCTCTATCCTCAAACCCCGCCCACACCATCAGGAGTGGAGCAACCAAGCTTGGCATACAGGTACATCTTAGGCCCCTAAACCACCAACCAATAACCCATTTGTAGCATTTATGCATCTATAGCATTAGCAGCATTATCTTAATTTAATGTAATTGACATTTGTTTTTGGTCTATATCTTTTGACTTATTTGAGCTACCTTACTAAGTCCTGGTGTAAATAGAGGACATCCTGGGCTTTCCATTGATATCTCATGTGTTTGGGTGGCCTCTTGTAGCTCCAAAGAGGCAGGAAATCACAAGTTCAATTGGAAGATTCTTTTTTTCCTATTCTCAGGGGTATATAAGTCATTTTGTTGCCTACCAACCACCTAACAACAGGCTAAAATCACAGGCCCAAACAATACCGTAGCATGTACTAGTAATATTTAACATGTTCACCATGTTGTAGTTTAGCCTACTTGCCATTTAGCTCTAAATACTAAATGCAGGCTGTGTAGACTGTATAAAAAGGATGGGTATACTGAGTGTGTTTTGAGCCACGTTGGTTTTTTAAGCTTTAAGTTGGATGAGAGTGAGAAGCGCTAAGCTTTCAGCTAATGCTAACGAACTTCATTAGTTGCTAGCCTTTACAGACTAAACGAGCAGCACAGTTTTTTGAGGAACTGTACCCCAAGCAATATTCTCCATCAGGCTTTCTCAAGAGGTAAATTTCAATTACTGGAAATAAAGTGCATGTTGGGATACACGCCTCAAAATTTAAGTCTACACAAAGACCAAACAACTGAGTTCTGAAATGTTATGAGAAGCAAAACTGTGTTTTGTACCTGGCATTAAACGTGTTTGTTACATCCCTGAAGTTAGCATGGTGGGGTCTATAGGACTGATTTGGTTTTGCAGCCTGCCTCAAGTGGCCACTGCAGAAACTACCATTTTTACACACTGACACTGGTGTCATTGTTGCTTCGTGGTTTGTGCCCCTAACAGTTTACAAATTTTAACACTCTCAATAAATGCAGATCAGTGAGTCCCAAAGTGTAAGCTGGGGCCACCTGGTGTGCTGCTGCGAAGGTCTTGCAGATGAGACACAATAATAACAGAAATTCAAATTGAGATTACTCAAAAGTATGTTAAGTTGCATATTTAGCTATAGGTTTTATTTTAGGTTAGCTTGTGATATTACTCATTACTCTGACTCTATAATGAAGTTTCTTTTTCTCTTGTATTATGGTGGACGTCATGGGTTTTTTGGTTTTTCAGGGGGTCTCAGCACTCTTGACTTTGGGAATGGCTGACTTAGACAAACAGAACTGTAACTACATTAATGTGAAACAGCATCATGCCTTGCAGAAACTCACCTGGGCTAAACTGTAATTCAATCAAAAACTTAAAAATATCAAAAGCAAGCGGAGTTCGAAAGTCTCTGGCATTATGTGTTAAAATGGTGAAATATAGGAGTAACTTTTATTTGAATGCTCAATGCAAAAAATATGAGGAAATAGGACACAAGTCTTACCCTCAATTTGAAAAAACCAACTAACAGCATTTTAAACATTTCTCCCCTCTGAAGTCAGCAATGAGAAATTGGCAAAAATGTTGCTTCCTCTTTCCTTCTTTGCATCAATCTCACAAGCTCGATCAGACTTCTACTTTTCCGAAAATCCAATTCTCTAATTCAAACCATAAGAAACTGTTATCGCTTTCTCGTTTTTTTCCGCAGTCCCTCCACCACCTCCTCTCTGTCTTCGCAGTCAGCAGGGAACTTTGTCGCCTGCTTTGAAAATAACTTGACAATCTCCTCAGCTAGTTTCCTCAATAACTCATCTAACTTCACTGGCTCTCCTCTCCTCCTGATCAAATGTCATTCCCCAGCTTGCTTACAGACCAGCACTGCTGATCCACTCTGTTTCCTGAATATTCTGATCATCTCCCACTGACATCAAACTGAATACCGTTCAGCACCCAGCTACAGTTACTCCTCCTCGCGCAGATTCAGACCTCAAGCCATCTGGCATCAGAAACTGCAGACAGTACGGTTTACCTCCTTTCAGTTCTTTCCAGAACTCTCGGATATGCCAGCTCACTCAATATCTTCCACAGAACAGCCTGTGGGATCCCTAGCACACTGTCCAAGCATGAGGCGCCACTGTGCCAGCACAACAGTGGATATATCGACACGGGAGGTCCTAGCAAACAAGCTAGACTCACACTGAATTTTAATCACTTCATTTAGAAAGTTGTGTTTGTGCAGGAGTGTCATGGCTGATTGAAACAGCAAAAACGTCCTTAATTTGATAATTACATTCACACACACATTGCTTTTGTCATATGCATTTCGATGCTACATTGCCATGAACCAATTTTGACTGGAAGACCACAAACACAGCTGTGTATTTCCCACAGGCTGGCATGACACTTTGACTACTGTGGGTTGGACGTTACATGTTACAGCTGTTCAAGTGCCCGTCAATCACAAGAATCCTTCAAATTAACTCTCAGTTCATCATCCAAGTAATACAAGAGTTTAATGACCCTGTTCCATTGTGATGCATTTAGTCTTTTGCAATTTTTTAGACTTTAAATACATCATCCGTTTTTGTGGACCCCCGTCTTGAAGCCTCGAGGTCAGTAATAGGTTGTTATCCTACTGTTTTTTGGAAACCGGCTTATGACCGTCCCTAAGTGCTTTATTGCACATTTTACTATAAAATGAATAGTACAGTTAACATCCTTCTATAATAAAGAAGACTCCAAACTAGCAATTCAACCATATTACATTCAAACTGAGGTCATAAATGAATGATCACATGAGAAGAAGGTTCATGTTCTAATAGCTTTCTGTTCAATCGGACTTCTTGTTGCAATCAGAGTGCCCCCCTCTGCTGACTAGAAAAGGCGCAGGTCTATGCTTGTAACATAACACTAAAATCTACAAGAACTTGTTTACAAAATGTGTACTGTAAATGTTGCCACTGATGCCTGTAGTGAGTGCTGAGTCAGACTATCCAAACGTATTTACACACGCAGTGTTAGACTGTAAGGAAGAATCCGTGATTTCGACTCTTTATCCTGTTTCTGAATGCCAACTGCACAAATGAGTACATATTAGTACTTTAATATGGACAAGGCTGTGTGATTGTGTGACTTTTTGTATAGCCACAATGAGGTACATACTTGTGGTTTTTACACATTTTATAGTTGTTTGAGAAATACTGGATAATTTGGCATTGACATCCGACGCATATGTTTACTTTGTGCGCAAAATGAATCTAATGTGAGCAACAGTTCATTCACACTAGAATAAAAAAAGGATAGCAACTCAGAAAATTCAGTGGTTGCCCAGTGATTACATTGAATTTTTTTCTGCAAGTAGAGACGACCAATGCCTTTAATCTCAGGGCGAGATTAAATTGTGCAATTGCACAGGTCACCTGGTAGGAGGCAACCTGTCTTCAAAAAAAATGCTCTGACTTGGAATGACTGCAATCACTCTCAGGGAGATAGACCAAGGTTTGCAAATAGTTTTTTATCTGGTTGCCAACTAGTTTTATTCTGATTATATTCTTGTATAAAAGGAAGGTTTGCCAGGCACCTGTCATTTTGCAGTTAAATCACCTTCCTGCAGCAATTTGTGAAGGAATTTATGAACTTTTGCATCAAATTGATGAGGTTTCAGCAGGACTCAGGAAGACGTTTTATGTCTCATCCAAGAGGCTTCTTCAGTTCTAATGAAGTTTTAAGGTTCATGTAATTCCCAACTTGACCCTTTTTACTTGATAGCAAACTGACTCCTTCTTATTGGTGTTTATTGCCATCTTGATACATCACTTTGAAGATGGCAAGTGACTACAAGTGGCTGGAGAGTTCAAATGCAATTACATCATAAGATCACTGCAAACATTCGCTTTAATTTTAAGTGTCAAACCACTTTTTCCTGAGTGTGACTGTAGCTTTACCTGACCTTCAGGATGTTAACATTATCATTGTAAGTATGTTAATATGTTGATATTAGCATCAATCCAAAACCCACTTAAGGTGAAAAATACATTAAACAGATTTTTTTAATTGCAGCCTTTCGCTCATGTTGTTGCCAGTGCCAGCTGGCTGACTCCAAAAGCAAGTTAATATCCTCTCTCTCTGAAAGTAAAACTAACTTGCACCACAAATAAACACAATCCTGGCTTGATTGATTAGTGCCTTTGGAAACATTTTAAATAAAAGTAGCTGAAAAAATATGGCTTGTTTTGTAGGTAAAAAGTAAACAAGAAGTCCTGAGCTCCAGTGTCAGGGAATTGGTAAACTGCTCCTTAGTACTAATTAAAAGAAATCAGTATCTTTGGGATGCGCACATACAATCAATAGATCCAGTTTGCTAATCAAGCATGAAAGCAAACTTATACCCAAATATGGTAATGTGATAGCAAAGACCTAAATGTTTAAATGAATAACAAACCAATGAGTGATGTCATAGTGGCTATGCCCATTGTTAATATACAGTCTGTGGCGCTGCCTTATACATCTTGGTGACATCAAGGATGATTCCTGGTTTATTCCCAAATTTTCAAAGTTTTACCCATAAACTAATATGTTTATATTTTTATGTTTATATATATATAGATCAGTCATGATCAGATGGTCGATCATTGCTTGCAAAAATGAAAAAGCAAATGAATAACACTGCTACAAAAACAGGATATGCACCGAACGATGTGGCTGAATTTAACGGGGCCAAAGCAAAACACTGGAAAAAACAAAGAGTCGTTTAAAGAGCGTGTTAGTCACCGCTTTTTGATACTCACAGGAAGAGGTTCTCCATTATTTCATGGTACTCCTCTCGGTCGCTGTCTGGCAGAAAACAAGCAGCAAACACGATGATGGCGTTCACTCCGTTGCCATAGTAGCCTTGATAAAAAGCACACACAAAAATAAAAGTAGTAAGAGTTCCTTTGGCGAGAACTTGATTGCTCTTTTATTTTTTGTTCTATTTATCTTTTGTCCATCTGTCTCTCTGCCCTGTTTCCTCTCGCTACTTTTCTGATTAATGTAATTTCCGTCTATTCACAAAGCCATTCATTACCAGATTTGGTGTCACTCAGACAGCAGGTCTTTTATCAAAATGACAGAGCTGGTGAGATTGAATTTTCAGTGACAGACGTCTCTGTTTCCATGAGACAGCTGCGTTTCACTAAACCTGCAACGCAGAGCACAGTGGGTTATGCATGGCCTGCATATTTCCACCCTCATGGTCAATCCACCCACAGACTAACCAGAGCTCGTGGTTAAGGCACCACAGAGGGGGAAGAGATAGACATGGGGCCCCTGCCTGTGAAACCAATAATGTGTGACTTAGTGACTGGTCTCAATTTAAGATCCAGGTCCCCCTGTGGTTTTCATGCATTATACTCACACACGGTTGTGTACAAGTATACGATTGCACAGCACTGCACAGTTCACATCATTTTTATTTTTGAACCATTCACTGACCCCTTATGCCCGGTGAAAGAGCAGTTGTTACTTTGATTTATCATGCCTGTATGCTCACAGTGAGTCGATCTGGATCACAGCAGTCAAATGGCCACTTTGCCCACATGAATCACATTACTGTAACATGCAGGTGACACAGGGAAACATGACTTAAAAATTCGTGCTGAAAAGGTTATCAGTTGTCTTCATCTACAGCCTGCATTTCCTTATTTGTACTTGGTCTACTGCCAAAGTGGGATGAGGTATTTCCAAAATGCTACGTCCTTCAATGGTCTAGTTAGATGAGAACTGGCAGCTCATTAACATGACAAGGTTGTAATGCAGTAAACCTAACATAAATACTTTTTTAACCTGGCTTTCTTCTGTAATCCAATAGCAAAGCATGCTTACAATTGAGAAATACTGTGTGTTAGATGATTATAAATTTGTTGATTTATTTCTGGTTTTCTGTGTGGCAGGAGGCTTGAGGTCACACTTTTTTTTATTTTTGTTCATCTCATCTATTCACAATGGCCCTCAAGAGGGCTATTCATCTTAAAAAGCCATAGTCTTCACATAGTTACCTCTAGGGTTCATGAAACTAAGGTTCCTCAATCTAATTCTTTCTTTTCTTTCTTCTAACACCATGAGGAGTCCTGGAGTCATTTTTTTTATTTATTAGAATGTCCTTCAATTAGCATATTATATAAATATGTAGGACTGTCATGCATTTGTGCAACATCTTTCCAAGTTCCTTAAATCCTGTCTCAGAGTGATACTGAAAAACTAGTTCAATTAGTTGATCTAAAATGCTGCAACAAGACCACTGACTTCTACTGTTCTCTGCTTCAAGTGACAACAAATCTTTCAGGTACAAAGTGACTGGGGACACTTTGCACCTGCTTTGTATGCAGATTCAGCTTGTATTTCAATCTTTGCTATAAAAAGCAACGTCTTTTACCCAATTGGCTTGGACTGGTATTCAGTTCTAGTGGTTGGGGTTTAAGGGAGAGTGCACCATTTGATGGATCCTAATGTTAACACCTTTACTATACTTTACTGTAAATGTAGTAACTACTTTGCAAAAGAAAAACTACACTTGTGAATTGATTTTAAAAAGTGAAATGAGTTGAGAGCAGTGTCTGCAGGGCTCACATGACCCCAGCAGCCGGAGCTAAGGAGGAAGATCTGCTCAGACTGTGAGACAAAACTTGAGTCACCTCCATGAGAGATGACTTTCATGTAGGGCTCAATGAGTTTCATGTTGATACGGTGTTCCTGCTCCCCAATGATGACAGTCCTCCACAGTTTTCCATCTTGGCGTTCCTCCTCAGCACTGTATGTTGGGATTGTATTGTAGACTTCACTGGTAGCACTCCTGTTGGCAGTATTGGGATCTGATAAGAAAAAGACCAAATGATGCATTGTGGGTAAATTGTAGACTGATTTTAAAAAGATCAATAGATCAGTAACTGTGGTTTTCCACTTTAACACATCAATTAAATTCTTGGTAAAGTAATGAAGCATATTAACATTAGCTGTTAGTGTTACAGAATAAAAGTCTTGCTCTTGTTGTGCAGAAGGAGGAGAATAAAATGCTTGTATCACTTTGTAATTCTGCGTGCCCCACCTTCATCGCGATCTTTCAGGTCATCAAACTCACAGTGTTAGCATTCTAGCATTCAGAGTCACCCACCTTCCCAGTCCATTTCATGGTCTGTGTAGTCGAGGTAATCCCCCTCATCTGGAGTGTCGAGGTCGTCGACATTAATGTCTAGATCATCTGGTGTCTCTCCGAAGTCATCCTCGCTCTGGTCCAGTGACAGGCTGATACGAGGCGCAGATAGTTTTTTTCTCTGTGAGGCTCCTCCTTGCAGAGGTAGAGAGGTAGGAGGGACTAAGAAAAGAAAAACAGAAACAGTTATGCAATGTCACAGTGTTCTTTTAGCTATTAAGGGTATTTGTTGATTCGCGCTCACCTGGTCTGCCATCATCCCCCTCAGAGTTCATTTTACTCCCTGATGCCAGGTCCATCCCCAGGAGGACCTGCGAGAAGATAATTACAGTTATTAAATGAACTCTTATGATAGAAAAACACACCTGGAGAGCACCCAGACTACTGTGTGTGCTATCTGCCGCCTGTGATACCTCTTTATGTAATGACTGAGTTAGATAGACTGGTTGTTAGAGTCTTGGTAATGTTGAGATAAATGGCAAATTTAAAAGCTACTAGTGAGTGGAAAGTTGAGTTTTTTCATTTCATGCTCTGTTATACGTCTAATTCACTAAAGTTCAGGGTGAAATTTGTAAAAAAAAAATTAACTTAATTTTACACCACATCGACAGCTTTGGTTGCATAACATATGCAAAATACACTCAGTAACCCCCTAACCAAGCATCAGATTAGGAAAGAAAAATGATTTAAGTGACATGGTGTGCTCGTCTTCTAATGACGGGTACCAGCAGGACGATATACCATCTCACAAAATTATAATAATCTCAAACTCATTTCCTGAACATAACAGTGAATTCACTGTACTCAAATGGCCTCCACAGTCAGCAGATCTCTATCCAATAGAGCACCTTTGGGATTTGGTGGAACAGGGGATTCACAGCATGGATGTGCAGCTAACAAATCTTCAACAACTTTGTGATCCTGACATTTCAACATGTTTCAACATGTAGTAAAATCACTTTGTGGAGGATTTCGGCAGTTCTGAAGGCAAAAACATCCAACCTAGCAATGTTTAACCACTAATGTTACCAGAGAGTGGATATGATAAAATGCAATGGATTATTTTAAACTGATAAAATTGTTCACATTGGATCAACAGGTAGTACCAACAGTAACACATCGCAAATTACCTTTAGATGATCGGACATATTTGAGCAGTATTTTTACATATATTTGTTTCATAAATATTTTTTAAGTTCAATCTGTTGGCTAACCTGGTAGTTTTGTTTTGAAGCCTACGCTTTTATTTTGAAAGAACGATAAAACAGGAAAGAGGTTCAGTAAGAAAGCGTGATTAGCGACAGAGTTGAAGTGTGGTTTAAGCACAGAGAAAATGAGCGTTACCTGTGTTAATAAGTACCTGGCTGACAGTGACACAAGGTTTGACCATATTTCTTTTCATGTAATAAGTTATGTCTAACCATAATGTCGTTTGATAAATGTAGCTATAAGCTATCAATCTAATATAGTGAATCAGTGAAAGGATTTGTAGCCTCGTTTTGATGTGTTATAGAAGTTTAGATGCAAAATGAGACCATCAGATATGTGAGATAAAGCTCAAATGCCATGTTGTGCAGTTTATCAAGTTTAGGGTGTCAATATTTTGTTTTTTCTTCCTAGCTCTTACGATGTCTTCCCTGAAAATCTGAGTGAACTACATCTTTAATAAAGTTTCTTTGAAGCATCAAGAGTCCAGCATTCAGCCAAGGATGCTGCACACTTTAACACATCAATAATAAAATTATAATATTATAATTCTTCTATAATTCAGTATAAATTGCAACAGCGTACTTTTGACGTTTAATCAGATCAAACTATTTTGCAAGCGTTTTTCCTGAAAAGACGATTTCTGGCAGCCTCTCATGAGGTTTTTATTCAGATCCAAATTAAGCATTTTTTTTTTCAAGTTAATTGGGGTAAATTTACTAAAGAATAAAATTTTGGGGTGCTGAGGGGGTGGGATAGTCAGAAATAACAGGAAAACACACTGATTTCTGCCAAATATTATAATGCAGACTCAGTGCCTTTATTGTACTTGGACTGAACCCCAGAAAAGCTCATTCTGAGCCAGCAAAGTTAGTTTTTGCTGATAATACTCCCCCACGTCTCCTCAAGAGGCATCTTAATAAAATGTTTTCATTATAATAGGATTTAAACATATGGTCCAGTATTACTCACTTAAGTAAATATTAATATATATGTTTTTACATATGAATCTGAAGTGGATTGAGAAAAACTAAAATATGATCCATTTTAATGGAAGCATTCCTGTTACGTCTCAGAAATCCCCAAGCACTTTTCAAAATAGTGCTGCAGAGCAGAAAATATGATTTGATTTGAGTGCTATAATTTAACCAACAACATTTTCTGATCAATATCGTGTCTTTATCTATGTTTGTCAGCCAGAGGACACAACAAAAAAAATCTTATCTCTGGGATCTATATCAACGCTGTTTTATAGAGTGAAAAATTACAGTTTGGCTTTATCAATATCAGTGCGAGCGTAAGAAAAAAAAAACAATCCAAGCGCATCCATAAGTGTACTAACACCTTCATATCTAAAAAAGTGTATTGATTACACTTTTCTGATCAATAGTTCTCCAAAGCTATCAGGGAATGGAGAGGGGGGTTTAAGAGGAGTGGTGAGATGGGAGAGGGAGATAGTAGAGCAAGGGATGGGGTGGGGGGGGATTCTGAGGTTAAAGGTCTTCTCCCTCTGTGATTAAAGTGGAGGAGGCAGGGTGACAAGTGGAAGGTGGAGTCGGGGAAACGGCGACGCTCGTTACATCACAACTTCATTCCTCTCCTTTTTTTCCCCTCCTAGTGCTCATTCAAATCAAATGACGGCACGCTTGCCTGAGCACAGATTGGGCACGGATGCAAATTCACCGAGAGTCACGTGCGCTCTTTCGCATGAAAAGGGAAAGTCCTTGTTCCTCATCGGCAGGATTTCATCTGGATTAAGAAAAATACGATTGCATTAGCAGCTGCAACAGAAAAATGCTGAATGGTTTGTTCCTGTCCAGTGGAGATGAGTGCCATGATTCACTGTTTGTCTACTGTATCTGTGCCCACAAGGAAATAAATACACATTGATACACAGCCCTATAATGCAGAATAACAAAACCCAGCATCATATATCTTCCGCTGAGGATGCTGATTTGCTTAAGATCCACTTCCCCAGCACAGCGTAGGACCACAGTGCTGATGCCAGCAGCCCCTCCCTCTCCCTCGCTTCCTGTCTGCTGGCTGTGGAAAAAAAAAATAGAGCATATCCCTTCTTTCTCTTCTTTTTATCACCCCCCTCCCCCAAATAAAAGCCATCTACTCACCGCTTCTGGGGCTCGGGAATCTCTGTCCTCCTGCGTCTCAGAGCATGAATGTACTTCCAAGTTCCCTGCCTGCTTCCTGCTTCCAGCCTCTCGATGGAGATGCTCAGCTTACAAACAGCTCACAGCTTCCACCATTTTGTGGTCACATGATCTGGGCCACTACCAAATAAGGGCGATCACCTGCTGCAACAGCTCTTTGCACACCAGCTTATACATACATATAGGAGGAGTGTATTTGCCTGTCATTATGAAGTGGGTGCACGCTGAGGTTTCTGAACTACTACTATTCACGACAAGTGCGGGACTGCTTTTAATGTCTGACTGTTGATTTGTGAGCCCCAGAGAGCTGTTTGCCCTCAGGGTGACAAAAGGAGCTGTCATTGCCAGCTCCGTGTGCAGATAATATTCATAGGATTCACCACATGCTTGAAAATATTGTCCAATCAGAAGCAAACAGCTGATGCTTGACAATCCACTGATTCTTAGGCTACTTCTAATGTTTCCTTCTACGTTAGCTCTGAACTGTTCAACCCTTAAAACACAACACAGGTGAAATCAGCTGGTTCCTAGATATCCATGCCCAAACACGCATTTCTCTAAACCTCGTTGAAAGCCTGTTTCACTTACCAAAGTTTAATCCCAAGTAATTAGGACAGGAAGACGGAGATCAGCCTGTCAGACCTCATTGTTGACCATTGTATGGTACAAAGGTTATAATCACACTCAGTGTAACCACGCCTGACGTGAAGGTGTCTGGGAAAACTGCCTTTAGTTAATCACTGTCAGCAGCTGCTGTCCTACAGCGTGAGATCAGTCATAGATTTCTGAACATACACTTTGTTCTTTATATATATTTTTAATTACTTTTGTCAAAATAAAGTTCTCTATAAAGTGACAACAATGGGGAAGCAGCATGAATCAGTTTATAGAAATACATATTACATGATTGTGGTTTTAATCATTTTAGAGGCAAAACGTTTGTTAAAAGTATCCAAATACAATAATGAAAAAACAAATTAAAGCCATTGTAGTTTCCCCCCACAGTGAGGAGCTACAATGTGGCCCATCCTGCCTTACAGGATGAGGAGCTGTAAGGCAGGATGGGCCACATTCCTGCCAGACTTTGTAAAGCGAATCTGATGCCGTGTGCTTATTCTCCATCAAACAGTAACAGAATGAAAGGAACCCTGTGTAACAATTCAAGATAACATTTTTCTCCTATAGCAGAAGAAAAAAATGGGCTTACTTTACCAGTTATGATAAAGTGGTGTCACAAAGAAAGACAATTGCTCCCTGTTACAGTCATGAAATAAATGCACCTTACCTGACACTGCTGCCTAAATGCCTCTCTTTGATGTTTTTGAACAAGCAGCTGACAGCACATTAAAGATTTTTTTTTTTTTGTCTTTTTAAAAATGTTACAACATGATTACGACCAGTGTTCTTGCTCTCCACAGTGAAACCATCACTTGGTCCATTAGCCTCTGTCATTCGAGGTTGAACTGTTCCAGGTTTTCTTGGAGGAGTGTGTCTTTGACTGATTTGAACACAATCCTGATGTTCTCCGTGTCTGTAGCGCAGGTGTAGTGCGTGTAAAGGGCTTTATGACGACCAACATGCCGCTCCACATACATATTTAAGATGAACTTTTTAGCTCTTTCAGCATCTTGTCGAGGCCCTGCGTGGGAGAAAGTGGTCAAAATTAGAAAAGCCTCCTTGCTCACTCTTTCACAGTTACTGTTTAATACAGTTTTATACTCTCCAGTGTGTCTTAGTTGAGACTTAAGAACTAACTCATTCTTAATAATTGTGCTTATCATTAACATCAGTCACAATATGCATAGTGCTCTATTGTGGACTTTCACAAATCGATCAGTTGTCATCTTCACAAATCTTTAATGTCTTTAATTATCAAATATTTGACAGGGTGCATGCTGGATTGATTAATTCATGTACAGACAGTAATTTAAAAAATGATTAACACAGCTTGTCATTGCTTCTGTAGTCTAACAGTTTAAATACATAAATATTGAATCCAATTTTACTTTATACAAATAAATCAGAATAAAACTCACCTCAGTCACTTGATATTGTAAGGTAAAGACCCTACAATAATATAGAGAAAACCTCAACAATCAGAAAACCCCCTATGAGTAAGCACTTGGTGAAAGTGGGAAGGAAAAACTCCCTTTTAACAGGAAGAAACCTCTGGCAGAAACAGGCTCAGGGAGGGTCAGCTATCTGCTATATTCAAGGCTGACTCACTTCATGCCAGTTATACTCAAATATAGTTTTGAACACAGTTATGGTTGTTCTGAAGACATGCAGAGCAAACTGGGGGCATGCTTTACCTGTGTATTCTGGAAAGTAGGAAGCTAAATGCGAATGCTGGATTTTCTCCTCTAGCAGGTCTGTTTTGTTCAGAAAGAGGATGATGGAGGATTCTTGAAACCACTGCCACGAGGTGATGGTCTTAAACAAGGCGAGGCTCTCCTGGAGTCGATTCTGAAAGAGGGGCGACAGGCTTAGACGATGAACTGTATTTGGACAAGGTTGGACAAGAATCAAAGAAAGGATCAACTATAACTATAATGACCGTACATCGTTTTCACTCTCGTAGAGGACCTGATCGTACTCGTTGAGGGCTGCAAGGAATATGATAGAGGTGACATTCTCAAAACAGTGGATCCATTTCTTCCTCTCAGAACGCTGCCCACCAACATCAACCATCCTACAGAAAGACAATGAAAGCACTAAAGGTTCATTACTGAAGACTGAAGAATTACTGAAGAAGGAACTATATTTCTCTACTTTCTCGCAGAGAGTTTTCTAAGGGGACTGACACTGCTAAGTTCACTCTCTATATAAATGGTCTTTAGCCAATACAGGTTTCAACAGTCAGCAGTTCCACATAGCGACACAGATGATTGAATTTCACATGTGCACTGGGACCTGCAGAAGCTGTGAATGCAGCTCTTTTGTTGTCTGCAGCTTATTCTAAACACGACTTGAAGGAAAACTTATTACCGCCCACTTAGTTCAAATTAACTATCTTTAGTCACTTCAGTAATTAGTCTGTTTTGTCACCGCAGTACTAATGTGTGTGTGTGTGGACTGCGAGTACACCGTAACTGTTTCCATACACATTAAGAAGGTAAGTACCGGATGGGTGCTGTTAATCAAATGCACTTCATTATTGATCATCAGCAAGAGGGAGTGCCAGTATAAAAGCAGAAGTTTGGCAGTTTGCTGGTCTGGAGCATTCCACAAATCTCAATAAACTGGAGCAACATTGTAAAGACTTCTACAAGCTGTTGAATGGTTGGGTACACTGGACTGCGAGTCATGTCAAAACTTTCTTTTTCACAGGGCTGTATATCTGTCTAGATGATGTGTTAATAAAGTATGATATCAAACCTGAAGATGTTTTTGGAAAATTCAAAGGGATACTCTATGATGCCTGTGGTGGGCACCCTGACCCTCAAGATGTCCTGCAGGGTGGGGATGTATGACGGGGCTGTGATTCTGTCCAAGTCAGTGAGGTAACTGAAATGTTTACAACAACACATTAAGGTTAATATTCTGAAATATTAAACAGAAATCTATGCTTTTTACATGCATTGATTTTAGCAGAATGAATCCACACTATTACAGGATTACAATAAACGGAGGAAATTAATGCAAGATAAAGATGTGAAATATAAAAGTCTTACTATTTTGCAGAGTCTGATATCTGGAATTCCCTTCTGCGCTCATAGCATCTTTGAACACCGTGATCGTTCCAGACTCTCTTTATGGCGTCCACTTGCCAGGACTCCAAAGTTGACACATAGGTCAAGTCCACTTGGCTCAGCTTCTCCGCATACCCCTGACAGACAGATACACAGGTCATTTCACTTCTTCAGTACACGTTCAATACAATGACCGCTGTAAAAGAAATCCCACTAGATGGTTTTTGTGAATTGCAAGAGATCGTTTTTAGGCAATGTTTCCTTTTTTTACTATAGTTCTCAAGAAGAACCAGATCTACTGCAATGACATGATGTAGAAAGATTAATTGTCTGTAGAAGTTTTTGATTACTAAAAAGTAACAAGCTTGAATTAGCTTTTGTTAAATTAAATTTGGTGCACACTTTCATGTCCCCCAAAGTTTAAACTGTAATAACTTCTGTGATCCCTTAACATTTGCCCAATTATTTTGCAGGATAAAAGTTTGCACCATCTTAATATCCCTTAGTTATGCCATTATAGCTCCAGGTTCAAATGTATATGATATAAAGAGCACCTCTCCTGTCTTATTCTCGCCTTTCCCCCCCTTTTTGGATCCATGTATTTACTGGTATCTTGTCCTCCAGATGTTTCTATTATGAGCCACACAGTCACTGAGTGTTTTTGTTCTTCATTGCTCATATCTTGTTTTGTTTTTTTTCACACACCAACTGTTTCTAGGCAGATGGCCGCCCACCCTGAGTCTGATTCTTGAGGTTTAACAGAAGACCCCCACCTTGCCCTCCCCAAAAAACTCCCACGTGTTGTGATTTGCCACTGAACAAACAGAATTTAATATCGAAAATAGCTCAGCTGGTCAGAATTTGTTGTCTGTCCACTGCGGCAAATCGGGCTGTGTGGATTTTAAATCACTGATAGTGACATTTAGATTGTTAGTTTATCAAAAACTAACACTATCAGAATTTTTTTTCAACCACTTTGAAGAACCTATCCTAAAGTGGCCGCTTACAACCCTGAGTGAGGCCTTACAGGAGGTTCACCCTGTGGTCAGAATGCACACACAAAGGTGCAGGCCCCAAAAGCAACTCACAAGTTCCTGCAGTGGAAAACTGTCTATTTATATAGCCTGCATGTTACAATACTAGTATTGTTTCTAATTTGTTTTTCTCAATGTAACTGGTACGGCAAGCTTTCTCAAACGCCACATAAAAGTTTAAATGCTTGGTTTCTCACAATGTTCTGGTCATGGAGGTAGTCAATGTGAAGAGTCTCCATGGCGTTGATCATCGCCTGGATGCCCGCTATGATGTTCTGATACACCACACGAGTGAAGCCTTTCCTGTCAGTGTCATTGTATCCTTTGCCATGGATGATCCTCATCTGTTTGATGAAAGTACTCTTCCCACTTTCACCAGTCCCTGG